AGAATACAGTGCCATCGTTTAGTCCTGAGCCATCTCTCCCGGTATTTTGTTTACGAAAACCGAGGGGCACTCGTGAGAAGGCGTACAGTGTAGCCATTGACGGATCCGTGGAGGGAGAGGTAGGGGCCGTGCCCTTCCCGAAATCGAGCAATTTTTCTAATTGAACACAGTTCATTGCAAACAATTATTGATAATGATTACATCACATTCCAAAGGACTGTTCCCACTATGCCCGAGCTGGCGGCATTTCATAAACAGACGCCAAATGATGCGTATCTGACTTGGTGTGTATTTATCTCGACGGTGTGTAGTAAGTGCAATAATTAAGTGGGCTGTAGAAATGTTAGATTTTGATCGACTGACGCTTGAGCTCTACGAAACATGAGCAAATACGTTTTTGTGATTGATTCTGCTTCGTTTATCCTAGGTTCCAAGAACGCGATTTCCGTAAGCAGGGATAGGTAAGTTCGATTATTCATGAATGAAAGGTCCGAAGCTCATAGAAGAGCGAGCATTCCCTTATTTTACAGGAAGCCTATTTTAGGTCTTGCCGTATTTGAGATGTTCTGTTCCGACATGTAAATTTATGAAATTACAAGGAAATATGTACGACAGTAAAATTTTGTTTTTATGTAATATGTCAAATTTTTATAAAAATAGTTTCAATTTATTCAGAATGCTTTACAAACTAAAAAAAATTGAATGCACATCTCTTGTACCTCTAAAATATGTATTTACATATGAATCCGTTCCCTATTGATTGCTAATGCATTATTATTATTATTATTATTATTATTATTACTATTATTATTATTATTATTCACAATTATTCCCACACAAAGACATCGTTTAAACTGAAAGTTCATGATTGGTTGTGTTTTTTCTGTGCGCAGATTTTCGTGTTCACCTGTTTCTTTCTCTCCTCTCTGCATTTACGTCCTGCCCCCTCCTCTGTGTTGTGATGTAAAATGTTTTTTGTTTGTATTCCTAAATTATTTTGAATTAATATTAATAGCATCATAATCCAAAGGTATCGAATAACCTTTTGTTGGAACGCTTATTGTATTAGGAAAATAATGGTTTCGTGGAACTGTAACTAGACGCTTCTTGAACGAGTTTCAAAAGAAATATCTTGCCATCACAAAAGTACCTCTTAACTTCGTACATACTGTTAATTTTACTCTCATTCTTCGTAATTCAAAGGTATATACCCCATTCATCCAGCATACAATTGACGCGGGCACCACAGCACGACAAGAAAAGCGCAAGGAATGCTTTGAGTTGCCGACAACCCGGGCCACGGCAGGCAGCTATCAGAAGAAAGTGGACTCCCCGTTTTTCGGTCGCGCATGTTTTCAATTCCTCCGTCTCTGCCTTTGTAGAAACGATCGGGAGCTCGCACTCACCACACTGAGTTGCTTTGACAGTAAATTCTTTAATACGTTTACTCAGAATACTCATTCACTAAGCTCTAGCTTCTCGCGTCGAATCTCTGTAATTTTATAAATAATGTTCAGTGATAATGCTCAGATATCGCTACGTTTGAGCTCCGATATTGCTCTATTTTTTGTTCTTTTGATTTAAAATCTTTCGCTCATTCGCATTTCGTCATTCTGTTTCTGCTACCCTTCATTCTTTCCCTGAACCTTATTCACCCAGCCCGGAAGAAGGTGTTTCAAGTATGCTTTTTTTTCTTGGACGTCATTTCCCTTCTCCGTAGTGTTAATGGTCTTTATTTTCTTACTTTATCAGCTTTTCGCAGTATTCCTAAGCTTGAAAGTCGATTTGCATAGGAGAAATACAGTTAACCTAAGTTCATATCCGCACCCACTGCAGTTATTCACTTTCTTCCTCCGTTTGAGGAAGGTGAATGATTATGAATTGCTTGAGTCGTGTTTCTGATCGAAAGGTAAACTATTTGCCTTTGTCGTGTTTTTCATTCATTCGTGTTTCATGAACTACAAACTATTATACGGTATTTTCCTAATGTCTTCATCTAACATTGTTAACTGCCGTATGAAACATTTAATCTGAAAAATCGTTCATAACAAGTCGACATATTTTATATGTCGTACTGTAATTATTTCAATAAATCGCCGTAAACTACTCATTTCCAATTTTAAGAAAACTCCTGGAGCTTCCAGCCATTTGAGAGATGTATATGGTTTCGATTAATACTTAGAAACGTGGAAAAATAAAAAACAACAACAATGAAACATTTGTTTTTGCCTGAAAAATGCAGATATTTAATCGTGTTATTCTGCGTATTCTCATGTTGCGTGTACTGACTGAAACAGTCTTAAAGAGTCAGTGCACCAGCTCTTAAGCCGTAGTTGTCATCCGACGGTACAGATCAAGAAAGATCCCGCCTTAAATTTTTACTATTCACATGTTGCACAAACGTCTTGAGATTCTTGATATGTAAACAATTGACGTATTGAAATTACTACGTTAATGCGGTATTCGGGAAGACTGTTTTTGTTAATATATTTAATTTATTGCATTGTGGATGAGAGTATTTTGTGTGTTGTTCTTGAGCAGCCTGTGTGCTACGTCTTAGAAAATTATTTTACATTATTTTGTTCAGCAGCATGTTTATTGCAGCAGACCACTGGTGTAATAATAAGTCAAGATGTTTTACCATTTAATTCATTACGATGGTTTCTGATGCGAGATAAAAAGAAACGGAGACAACGTCACAACTATCATCCACATTCTTTTTCTAAAAAAACCGTTTCCTTTTATTCCTGAAAAGGCCCAACTCTTCTATATCCAAGCCCAGCAACACAAGACGTGCCCTACACGAGTCCACGTGAACAGCAAAAGCGCGGCCGCTCTGATCGCTGCGAGGAATTTGGCGTGTAAGTCCGCTGCGAAGAAGGGCGCTGACCTTGTCGCTTTGTCGCGGGCGTGAAGCAGCCAGCGCTCCTCGCTCGCACCCTTTCGGTACAAAGGGCGCCGCGCTGCAGGAAGGACAGCCCTTCCGCGGGCGAGCCGCCTCCGCCTCAGCCCTTCGCGGCCCTTAAGCCGGCATTATAGACCCCTCCTTTTCACCGAAAGGACCACAACACATAATCGCCTCACTCGTAGGAAAGATGCTGTCAAGATGTAGGGACCAGTAGCGGGACAAGGTGACGCGGACTGTGATGATGTGAAGGGAAGAGGATAAGATGTGTGAAAACATATAATACATTATTAATGATTAGTCTGAAGTTGGTATTGTGTGCTTTGTGCTCGTAGTTTTTTGAGATTTTTCAGAAGACAGAATTTTACTTCATAACAACACATTCTATTAATCAACGAAGGATTTTGTGAAAATAAAGGTAACCAATTTACAATGTTGTAAACAAGATAAGGTTTACGTACCTTATCAGGGAAGTAAATACAAATTAGGAAATTCAGTACAACGTAACATTATTCCCTTAATTTCAACATACGTTTCTCACAAACAGCTTGCTGTTTCAACCCTCAATACTCAAATTGTTTGCAACGGATTAGAGAAGATCATTAAATTGTATATTTCTGGAATAAAAAAAAGAACATCTGAGAGTCACGTAGTTTTAAAGTATAGATGTCAATAAATAATTATTACATACCCGCTCATGTATTTTTACAAAATTCTGCACGAACATTACGTAAAACGTAAATGAGAATGAAATAATATCGGCCTACGTGAAAGCACAATTTAACAAAATTATATATTAAGCTAAAGACAACTAGATAATAAATCGAAAACAAAACTAGACTATCAGACGTCACAAAAAACGCAGACTGATGTTCTTATCAACCATAACTAATGATCTACGAAACAAAAATCTCAGAATTTTTCGTAGCAAAGACTCAACAACTATGTTCGCTCGAAGAACACTCTGCGTGGAGATGGGCGATTTTCCTATTAACCTAAAAGAAATATTCCGTAAACACTAACTAGATTTCTTACATTTATTCCCAGAATGAAACTGCAACATAAAACAAATCATTTTTATGCAGCGCAATTTAAAAAGAAATGGAATGTGAATCAAAGGCGAAAAACTGTTCATGATATTTGGCCCTTAATTCTTTAAACTTTCTTTCAAGTAAAGAATTGTAAAGCTTGAATATTATTAACAGTTAAAAATGGTTGCGTAGGCTCGTCCCTAGACAACAACAAAAATGATTTACTTCAAAATTAATTCAGCAATCTCAGAAATATCTTTATTATAATACGAATTAAAACAATCGCTATTTTAGAAAAATCTTCATTTGCCTTTGAGGCGTACGTCGTGTCTTTATTATTTCTTGAAGTAATAACACCAACTTCGTTGTGTTTACCAAACCAGGACTCAAATAAATTATTAATTACAGAATTCTTTAAGAAGATTTTAAATAGACAAGTTTCAATGGTAAAAAATAGGAGTAGTGTTCAAAAACTATTATTATGATGGAATAGTATATAAGTAGTGTTTCTATATACATTAACTCAAAACAAGATACAATAAGTTTCGAACTAGTCACGACACTGAAATTAACATTTTCTCATTATTTTCTTTGTTTATACTAATAAACTTAATTTGGGCCAAACGTATACGGACGTGTACGTTTGGTTTACGTTCAGAACATGTAAAAGAATTCAGCTCAACGTAAAGTTAAGTAAATTAGGAATTGACACTGTTCCTTCACATTTCCTTCTCTGTAAATGATTCCAAAACTCATGGTCCACTGAAGGCAGCCCTCTCGAGCTTGTGACAAATCGGTCTGTTCGGTTGAGCGAAATCAGAGAGGACGAGATCGCAAGTGTGCGCCGCGGGGCTCGTCGCGCCTGGGGTATTGATCACAGGTGTGCGCGCGGGGGACAGGTAGGGCAGCGGGCGGCGGACGGCGCCGGGGCGCCGGCCATATTGCGCGCGGCGGGGAGGCCGCCGGCCAATGCGGGCGCGGCGTCGCCCC